TCTTGTTGTGTTTGTTTTCTGTTTTCTTGATCTAATAGTGTTTTTAAGTTCTTGGTTTCGGTTTTGAGAAGATTACGAAGGGATGATAGATGAGAGTTAAATAGGGTATTAGGAGTTAATAGTGTATTGTTTTGAAATTTTTGGTTGTATTCATAAAGGTAATTAGGAAGGTTAGGTGATTTAAGTGATTTTTTTGATTTTTACAAGTGCTTTGTATTGAAAGAAAGTGTATGTATATTTGATTTTTTGGATAGATTGTTTTCTCATGTTAGGATTTATTTTTTTGTATGGAATATATTTGTTGGTTGCTTTTATAAAGGATTTATTAATAATTTTCCAAATTTCGTCTAAGTCTTGTTGATTTTGGATTTGTGTGATTTGGTTTTTAATTTTTTTAAGATTTTTGTCTAGGTGGTTTTGATATTTTTCTATTTGTTCAGCAGTTATATACTTCCAAAGAGTTATTTTCCACTTGGGTTGTTTGTGAAGTAAAATCGAAGCAGCAGATAAAGTAATTTCTAAGAGAGTGATGTTGTGGTCTGAGTCTGTGGGAGTTGTATCTAAAATATTTGCATAGTCTAAGGTGTTTATATGAAGGTTTGTCCAAATTTGTCTATTCTACTTTGATGATTTTTGTGATAGCAAGTGAATTTTGAAAGGTCAGCGTGAAAGATTCTAAAGGTATCATAGAAATTTGGTTTAAGGTATTTAATTAGTGAGGATTCTGGAGATTGAGTTTTTTTTGGTGGCAATCGGTCAATTTTAGAATTTGGTGTTGTATTAAAATCTCCTATGATAATAATTTTATAGTTGGTTTTTTGAATAAGAAGAAGTGTTTGTTCATATATTTCTTTTTTTAAGGTTTGTTTTTCTTTAGTTGGAAAATATAGTTGTATAAGTCGGATGAGATAGTTTGGTAAAGATAGGTCTATGGAAAGGATGTAACCTTTGTATTCTTGTATTTTGCTAATAAATCTAGAGAGATTTTTATGTATTAGAAAACCAACTCCACCTTGTCTGATGTTGTCAGCTTCACTCCAGAGGTTAGTATAATTTGAAAGGTTTTGATTTAATGAGAGTAGTTTAGCATCTTTGACACTTAGATGAGTTTCAGAAAGGCCAAAAATGTTTATTTGGTTCTCAGTAATGAAGTTGTGAAGTAAAGCTTATTTGGAGTAAGACAGTCCATTTGTATTAAGAGAGCAGATTTTAATTTGTTCAAGTGTAAAGGAAGGTTGGTCTGAAATATTTTGAGTTGTGTTAAGTATGTTTGGAGGTTGATTTGTATAGTAGTTTTCAGATGAAGTATGTAGTGGTGTAGGTGAAAGGTCTGTTTCATTAGTCAGAAGAAGGTTATTTTCAGAATTTAGTGAAGGTGATAAGGTAGTTAAAAAAAGATCTGTTAGTGTGTTGGGTGTAATGTAGCTATTGGATTTAAGTGTGATGTTGTGATAATGCTTTAGAGCTTCTCTAGGTGGAACGAAGTGATCTGATAATGGTTTGGATTTGAAAGGTAGATATATATGTGCTTCAGAGTAGTCTTTTTTAATGTAGTAAGAGTATGAATATGTGAGTTTTCTAAGTTGTATTCAAAAGGATTAAGATGATTAAGAAAGGAAATAATAGTTTGTGGTTCAGGTAGTGTTGGTAGATTGTGATATCTGAGAAATCTGTTATAGCAAAGATGTGATGAATGTGAAAGAGGTCTTGGGTTTGGGTCAGTGGTGTGTTTAGTATTATAAAGATTGAAATGGACATCTTGTGCAAAATAAAAGTATGAATTGTAAGTCCAGTCATCTTTAACCATATTAGGAATAGTTACTGTTTTAAGAGAGTTGATGTCTGATATAGTAGAGAGGAGAATAAAAGGAAGGTATTTGTAGCTTTCAACTGGTGTTATAAAATAACCGCGTCGTCCAAAGTTGTGGACAGACCAGGGATAGACATAAGCAATACTGTAGTCTTCTTTAATTAATAGATTGAATGTAAGGTTATATATGTTATTAAGGTTGTAGTTGAAGGATTCAAGGTGTTTAATGAAAGAGTTGATAGTTTGTGGGTACAGAAGTGTAGGAAGGTTGCAGGATAGTAGAATCTTATTGTAACTTGTGTTGGGATTGTATAAAATTATGTGTGGTTCATTTATATAAAAGGTGTTTGTATAGTCAGTCTGTTGAGTTGGCTTATCATAGGGGGCTAAAGATGTTGAAAATGATTTGCCAGTATTACAAGTGTCTTCTACAGAGT